ATAAAAAGTTTCAGAAATTACATATAAGCCCCAACATTATATAAGTAATAACAAATAAGCCCCTGACAACATACTCTTTCATATCTTTGTTCACTCTCATGTGGTGTTGTCTAGTTGCTTTCATTGACAGGGTACCACCTTGTTTGACAATTGCCTGTGCTTTGGACGGTTTGATTTTGACATTCATCACTTCTACGGTAATATTGTTCTAACCCTTCTTCTATTTTTATTCTCATTACACAAATAGGAAAATGTGCAGTTCAAGTTTGGGGAGGCAATAAAATTGCAAGTTTGTGTTTAATTTCACACTTTTTGATAGAATTTGCAATCTTTGACTGATACAAAGTTAAGAGCATGCAGTTTTAACAATAAATTTATGCATGTGAAGCTAGTTTGGTGTCCCGAAGCAATTTTTAATGGATTAATACATCATATATGTGGAATTGTTGCTAATTTTGGGATAAATTGAAAAAAATTTACATTGCGTTTTCATATAGTGGTCCACATTATAGGTCTTTCCACATTCTCATGATTTTTGAACTTCTAGAGTACTTCACTTTCATCTGAGCACACTTGCATCTATTTTGTGGGGTATGAACTTGATATCTTGTTATGATTTGTAATTGACTGAGATAAGTTGGTAAATTTTTGTACGCAAAAATTCAACTACTTTCCACTGAGTAACTGGGACTCTTGCCTCATTACATTGAGATTTCACATCAAAAGGTGGAGAACTTAGGAAAAAGAAAGTTGAAGAGTTAGTTTAGATTCGTAGCCTAGTTAACTCAAGTGATTAAGTCCTTCGGGGTGTCTTGACACCTAATGCCCAAAAATTGGCCGGTTTGGGAATCATTGGCCGAAAGCTTGCTACATGGGTTTTCTAGAGAGCTTAAGGGATCCGAACATTGCACAAAACTCTTGTTGAAAAAAAAAAAAAAAAGGCACACACGTGTTAGAATTGTTATTTATGCCTTGGGAATCAAAATTTGAAGAATTACCAATAAATTGAAGAATATTACGGAATGTATATGAGTATGGATGGTAAGCAACATAGATGAATGTAAGTTCACTTTTATAAGGATGCTAGAGTTTGAAATTATTTGATATATGGATTTGAACTTTATATAGGGACCATTGTTGTTGAGCATGATGTTGTGCATGATGGTCGTAATCTACATACTTCTTGTAATTTTCTGTTTAATCATTGTCAGGATACCTTTGCTTGCTAAACAGGTGATAATTGAGCTAAATTTTGGATGTTTGTGGGTACCATCTCTGGAAACCCTCACGAGACTACAGCTCGACCACTAGGGGTAACCTAGGGGTTTAAAGGCTTGTTGCATAAGCTAAATGCAATCGTGATTCCCACAAAAGCGAACTTTATATTTTTATTTTATTTTAATTTTTGTTTACTTTTGTATTGCTAAGGGACTAACAATATGTAAGTTTGGGGTTGTGATAAGCGTTGAATATTACATATTCGAGCCCTTAAACGTACATATTTTAATGCCTTATTGATATTTTTATCTCGATTCTTATAATTATTTTCATTTATTTACATTTTGTAGGTCTTTACCCAAAGATGTGGATAATCCCATGTATTTAGAGTTTATGGCGATGTTCCCAACGCTTAAGGAGATGTTCTAGGCCTTTTGGGTCGATTCAAAACTCAACCGGGAAGATTTGATAAATTCCAGCCCTAGAACTCGAGCACAAGTATCTATGCACGAGCACAAGTCCAAGGGCTTGAGCACAACTTTCTATGCTCGAGTACAAATAAAAAATTTCAAGAAAAAAAGCTAAGCGTCAAAGAAAAAGACACTTCGGAAAAATTCAGCTCCCAGAGCTCGAGCACAAAACTTTGTGCTCGAGCATAACCCCTCAGAGCTCGAGCACTGATGGAAAATTCTAGGCCTCCTTCAGTATTTTGGGCATAACTTTTCACTCAAAACTATATTTATCAAAAAAAAAAAAAAAAAAAAAAAAAAAAACTTTCACTCAAAACTCCAAATTGGGCAAACTCAGAAGCTGTGGAAAGAAGACTCGAAGCCTGACGTTTTTGTATCTAATAGCAATTTCGAGATTCGTACTCCAAATATGTCAAAATAGCATTACAACTTCAGAAAAATTTGTTGAAAGAAAACTACGTGTTGAGAGTATGCTCGAGCACTGTCATCCTAGAACTTAAAAATACATGCGGGAAACACTCCTTTTTGGTTCTAGACGGGCCAAGATGACTTCAGAAGCTGTAAAGCTCATCCAAAGGGGATTAGGACTTGTTCTCCACCATAAAAGAAGATGAGAAGACATATTGAAGAGGGCTTTCTTATCTCTACCTCTCTTATCTCTCTTGGTTCTCCTATCTTGTGGTGGCTTTTAGGGTTTTGAAGATTGAAGATTCCAATTGGCGGTCCATGGAGATGGCTTTTACACCGACAAAGATGACATCCTTCCTCTCCATAATAATATCAAGGGATAGATGAACATCTCCCTTACGACGAATAATGGTGGTTGACCCAGACTAACAGTCTGATTATCAGGGGTAAAGGGAGTAGAAAATAATGACAACTCACCAATCATGTGATCAATGGCTCCAAAATCCAAAACCCAAGTAGGTTTTCCCGCTTTAACATAAAAAGCAGGAGGAGTACATGTAGCTATAGTAACTATAGGAATAGAAGAGCTAGCCATGGTAGATAAAGCTCCGAACTGCTCCTGAAGCTGACCAATCTGGGACTGTAACTGATTGAAGTCCCGAAAAGATGGTCTGGGGGAGTTGAAGCAAGAGGGACAACAAAATGTGGAATAGTATACCCACAAATGGTATCGGCTACTGCGGCAGTGCGGCCACGGCCAGAAGGACAATTGCAAGAAAATTTATGTTTTAGCTTGGGATAAAGCTTAAAGCAACGATCCTTTATATGACCTGTTGACAAATAACCTTTCCCTCTGAAAGTCTAGAATTAGCAGCAAGAGCCATCAGATCAAGAGTCTCTAGTAAAGCTACTGGCTCAGAGATCTGACATCTATACTCCTCATGGTCAACAATAGCGAAGGCATCATATAAATCAGGCATAGGAGAGGTGTTTATGATCTGAGTTCTAAGAGCATCATACTCAGGTCGTAAACCCATCAAAAACTGGTAGGTATGTTGGCGGTCCAATCTCTTGACCAAAAGAGTTGTGGATTCTTCAGAGAAATCGGAGAGAGGTTCATACTGTGCTAATTCTTCCCACCTAGACTGGAGGTACCCAAAATACTCTGATACTGACAGCTTGAGTATCTCCTGAGATACATGGGCAATCTCATGATAGAGTTCAAAAATACGAGCGTCATTGCGGGAATGGGCATACATCTTGTTGAGGGCTTGCCACAGACGAAAAACGTAAGTGTGAAACATGAACATGTTATAGATACGCTCCTCCATTGAGTGGAAGATCCAACCCAGAATGGTGCACCTGTCCATGTCCCATGCAATATATTTAGTATCCGTCTTTTCCGGTTCCTTTACTAGATCCAAAAGCCAACCAGTTTTCCCTTTCCCTCCAATATAGAGTTAAAGAGAACGGGACCAAGATACAAAGTTGCGCCCATTCAAGAGCACACTAGTAACCCGTTGTGCCGAAGTATGATGTGCCGAAGATAAAGTATGCTAAACCGAGGATACAGTGTCATTTTGGCTACTAGAATTAGTCATAGTACCAAAATAAGGCTGGTCCACACGTCAAAGCAGGAGGAAAGAAAAAAATAAGGCCAGAAAAAACACCGCCAAAATCGGCGCTTATTTCCAAATATGCTGTCGAACAAACACCGGCAACCCACAAAGAAAAAAAAAATGCCAGAAGGACCCTTAGGTCATAAAAAACCTAAGGGAATTCTCCTAAAAAAGGAGTCAAAAACAGAGGGTTAGCCAAGGGGTCCAGTGTAAGGGCTGGGAGGAGATGGAGGCGCACCGGAGGTGAGGGAAAATGGAGAGAGGGAGAGAGAAGGTGGCGGGGTTGGGAGAAAGATGGGGAGGCGAAGGTTTTTGTTTTGCTCTGATACCAAAAAGAAGAAGTTTTGGGTTTTGGTTTACTCAAACCGAGAACCAAGAGCTATATTTATATACAAGAATAGGGTACAAAGAAAGGAAACCAAATTAAAGAAAAACAGGAAATATGCTAAAATCTACGTGATCCCATGATTACGGGAATCTTATCTACGCGATCCCGTAATTACGAGGATATTATCTACATGATCCCTTGATAATAGGGATCTTACATAAAACACCTAATAAAAGGCTGAAATCAGCTAATAAAAATAAAAATAATAATAAGACATATATTTCAACACTTACTTACACATGGTAAACACACCTGTGCACATATTTGGTGGGTGATGAAAAAGAAAGTGAGTGAACATTAAACCAATCACTTTAGAGTAGATAAATAAGAAATGTAAGTGTGCCGAAGCGGCCATGTAGTTTTGGTGGGACTGATTTAAAGAAAAGAAAGATAAATATGATATAAAGATAGCTAACAAAAATTAAAATAATAAATAATAGATGTGATGAATGATGCTTATGCTAAAAGGTTATTTGTTCTATGATTTTGGAAATCCGGGGCGTGGCAGCTAACATGGGCCTTGATGTTAAAAACGTCATCCACATAGCAAGCTTCTGATCTCAAGCTAGGCAGGATAGATAATCTACAATGTTTTTCAAAAAAAAGTTTGCATTAGATTTAGGGCTTCACCTTTTTTCTTTTTTCTTTTCTTTTTCCTAGAGAAATCGTTATAGCTTAATAAATAATTCTACCATGATACCCGAACAAGTTTAGGGAAAACAGATACAGTAAATAGTCTTTTATTTATAACAGATATACAGGATTTAATTAGTTTCCTACATAGAATAAATAAGCCATAGAAAACAATTGCAAGTAAAATGCCACAATATCAACAACATATAAATTTGGAAGAGTTGGTATGACAAATTAATTGATAAAAGTGAAGGAAAAACACACCAGTCTTTGAAGCTCAGATAATTTGAGAGCTCATAATAAACGTATGCAGCAGCATTATAGGCAGCATCCTTAAGAAGCAGCCCTGGAGTGATTTCAGTTACTGAAGCAGGACAACCATTCATTGCCTCTTGAAGAATCGAAACAACAACTGGACCTAGCAGCTTAAATAACAATGAGCAGTTGAACACACCTCTCAATATTTCTACAAATATGTTACTGGAAAAATATGGAACCAAGAATTGAGTCCACCTACTTGGCTATGGTTTTCAAACAAAACAATATATAAGGCTTCAGCACATGGCCTCAGCTTTAGTTCCCACTGAACTGAATCCTGCTCATGATGAAAAGACTCAGGGCTATGGTACCACTCCTCCAAATCATTTGCCGTTAAAACAAAAAACCTGTTTTAACAAAATAGGAGAATATTAGCAATTTGAAACACCAAAATACATTACAAAAGAAACAATTTAAATTTTGTCAATAAAAATAAGAACACCTATAACTCCATCTTTGTCATGCTTAGTGTATTATCATTACACAGCCAGTCCCAAGCCCAGAAAAAGGAAGAGGGTTGCGTTAGGTAGCTTGACAACCAACGCTTTTGTCATGAACAATATCAACATGAATCCTAAGGTTATACATATGATAACATGTGGTTTGGCTGAGGCTAAGGCCTTGGATAGAGCTAAATGAAAGATATGATTCATGTAGCCGACCCCAAGTAGTTAGAAAAAGGCTTTGTTTTTTATTGTTGTTGCTGCTGCTGTTGTATGATGAGAACAACCATCTACAAACACAGTTTTCAAGTTCACCAAATATTCGTGAAAATATGGAGAAATTTTGAATTTTAATTGGACCCTTGCATTTGAAGAAGTCTGGACAAACAAAATTTCGACGCAGATTGGAAAATTGTGGAGTTCAGAAAGTACAGGTTTAAGTGCAATAAACAAGAGCTGATTTAGCTTTAATAATTTAGGGAAAAAAAAAAAATCAACTTTTCTAAATGGTAGATGGAACTTGTTGACATTTGTCTAGTACTAGCCGAAGAATTAAATGACAACTTAAAAGATTGGATTTTAAAACAACCACCACCAACCCTTTTCCCAATTACTTGAAGTTGGCTACATGAATCCTATGTTTCCATTTCGCTCTATTTAAGGCATACCCTTAGTCAATCCAAATGTTATCATATTTTTCTTTACTTACTCTACCTACATTAACTTTGATCTTCCTCTTCCCCTAGTATTACTCTCAATGTGGACTACATCATTTTTCCTAACCGGCGCACTTAAAGGTTTTCTTTGCACATGTCCAAACCATCTTAACCAAAACTCTTTCATTTTATCTCCAATTGGTGCTACTCCAACCATCTCCCAAATAGCTAAAGTCCTAGCATCGAGATTGAGGGATGTTTTGAATGATATTATATAAAAGTCTCAGAACGCTTTTAAAGGAGGGCGGTGTCAGATTCTGGATTCAGCTCTTATTGCTAGTGAGTGTGTGGACACTAGGTTAAGGAGTGGTGTTCGAGGGGTTCTCTGTAAGCTTGATGTTGAGAAAGCTTATGAACATGTAAGCTGGAAGTTCCAGTTGTATATGATGGAGAGAATGGGTTTTGGGGATAGATGGAGGAGTTGGATTGAATTCTGCATCTCTTCAGCGAGATTCTTGGTGATGGTTAATGGGTTCCCGACAGGTTTCTTCAGTAGCTCGCGAGGTTTGCGTCAGGGGGATCCTTTGTCTCCCTTCTTGTTCATCATTGTTATGGAGGGTGTTAGTAAGTTGATGGGGAGGGCCATGGAGATGGGTTTCATTAGGGGATTCAGGGTGGGCAGGGATGCTGCTCATCAGTTGGAGATTTCCCACTTATTTTTTGCGGATGATACTTTGGAGTTTTGTGAGGCTAAGGTGTCCTAACTGAGGTACTTGAGGTCTGTGTTGATTTGTTTTCAGGCAGTTTCGGGCTTAAAAGTGAATGTGGGGAAGAGTGCTCTGATTCCAGTAGCGGAGGTGCAGGATATTAGCGAGTTGGCTTCTGTCCTTGGATGTGGTATCAGTTATTTTCCGATTTCCTATTTAGGTTTACCTTTGGGGGTTTCTTCGAGGACTATGGGTGCTTGGGATCCTGTGATTGAGAGGAGACTTAAAGGGTGGAAGAAGCAATACTTATCGAAAGGTGGGAATCACTCTTTTGAAAAGCATGCTCTCAAGTCTTCCTACTTATTTCTTATCCCTCTTCTAGATTCCGTCCTTGGTTGCGGCTTCGGTCGAGAGGCTTCAAAGAAACTTTTTATGGGGTGGTTTACGGGATGAGTTTAAGCATCACCTTGTTCGTTGGGAGTAGATTTGTAGGCCGATTCAGTCCGGAGGCCTAGGGATCAGGAGGTTGGTGACCTTCAACAAGGCTCTCCTTGGTAAGTGGCTATGGAGATTTGGTCTTGAGCGTCACAGGGTCTGGAGGAGAATTATCTTGTGCCGTTTTGGGGAACAGACGAGGGGGTGGTGCTCTTGTATGGTGAGGATTCCTGGAGGTGTGGGCATCTGGAAATCCATTAGGAAAGGATGGAATGAGTTTTCCAAACATATCATATTCAGAGTTTAAGATGGTCGGGATATTCGTTTTTGGGATAACCTTTGGTGTGGAGATTGTACTTTAGCATGTTCATTTCCAAGATTGTTTAGGATTGCTGTTGATAGGCATGTCTCGGTTTCTGACGGCTATTGGCTTGATAGCGGGAGATTAAAATAGGACGTGCATTTCTTGAGATCTTTTCAGGATTGGGAGCTGGACGACGTCTATCAATTTTTGGAACGTTTATATTGTCTTAAGGTTCGTGGCGTAGGTAGGGATTCTCTTGTTTGGGTGCCTTCTTCTCGGGGAAGTTTCGAAGTGAGATCCTTTTTTCGATGTCTTTCAAATTCTGCCGGGGCTACTTTTCCGTGGAAGGCAGTGTGGCATTCCAAGGTGATGCTCAAAGTGGCGTTCTTTGCTTGGACAGTGGTGTGGGGCAAGATTTTGACGCTTGATAATTTGAGGAGGCGAAAACAAATCACAGTTGACTGGTATTGTATGTGCAAGTGTAACGGAGAGTCGGTTGATCATCTTCTTTTGCACTGTCCAGTGGCTTTTGGTTGTTGAAGCCTTTTGTTGGGTATCTTTGGGGTTTCGTGGGTTATGCCTAGATCTGCGAGAGGATTGATGGACGCTTGGAGAGGGTGCTACGTGGGATCACAGGCTCGTGATTATTGGAGGATGGCGCCTTTGTGCTTATGGTCGTGTTTGTGGAGGGAGCAGAACAATAGATCATTTGAAGGACAAGAATCTTCGATTGTTGTTCTTAAATCTTTCCTTATTAGTTCTTTATGTTGTTGGGGTTCGGGTAGACATTGTTCCTCCCCTGAGGAGACAATTGACTTTCTGAGTTCCTAGGGACCTTTCTATGTCACTTTTGTTGTATTTGGGACGCGTTCCCCTTTTGAACGTTTTTTTATGAATTTTCTTAATTATCAAAAAAAAAAAAAGTATAACAACCTTGGGGTTAGCTCTATGGCACATATTGCTCCTCTCTCTCTTGTTTCAAATAAAAAATGAAATAAAAAAAATCACTATACCTGCCTTTGCTCGAAGCCAGGTGGAATCAAATTTTTGCACATATGCAGCCCAAGTATATTGTAGATTTGGGCATGTTCACGAATAGATGATAACACGAGATTCATGACACTAGCAATAAAAAGAATTATTCATAAGAGGAGAGGAATCGATAAAGAAAGGGACTCGCTCATAGCTTTAAGATGACAACAAATTTAGTTGATTGGTCATTGGTGGCTACGGAAGCACGATTTTGCAATCAAACTGCTGGTGTTTGGAACAGAGATGAAAAACCTGCTGCTGTAAGGGTCTCTCTGCTAGTGAATATGGTGTTGGTGGGAAAGAAGAAAGACATGTAAAGGCATTTCATTTTCTGTAGTGGTTCTTCATATGGATATAAAGACATGCATTTAAGGAAATTAAACACTAATTCGTGGATATTTTTCCCTCTACATGGCAGGGAGTACTTGAACAAGACTCTCTCTCTCTCTACATATATATTTATATGAATATATGTATATATACACACTCATTAGCACAAGTGTTTGGATTACATGGGTAAAGAGAAAGAAAGTGTATTTTGGTCCTTTCCGTTTCAGGTACAAATCTCTATCACTATCAATATATAATTGATGATCAAAACAGTAAAGTAACAGTGTAACACACTACTGTTACTCAGTTGGACAGCCGTAACTGACAGGGGAGGTAAGTGGGAAATTGATACCAAGAGGGGGTGTAAGTGTTATCTTGACAAACCTCAGGGGAGGTAGGTGTAATTTGCCTAAATTATTTTTAAATTATGGACATGGTCATGGAGTGTCAGAGACTTGTCCAGAAGTGTCCATGAAGTGTCGATGTCCAACACGTACACAACACCTTGTAGAAGTGTGTGCGCTTCTTAGAACCATCATACATGTCCTTTATTGTGTCAGTGTATCACTTTGTGAAAACCCTCCATATCTGTAGAGTAAAAACGCTAATTTTCCGGCGAATCAAAGATTCTATTGGTCCATTTATCATCCGATTACAGGGAAACTTTCTCGGGAAAAATTTCCTCCGTCTCCGTTCATTTTATGGCCTCTGCTTAAGTTCAACTTGAACTAAGCTCCGTTGGAATTTTCAACCAAAGATTAACTCAAGCAACAAAAGAATTGTTCAAGTATGTTTAAAGATTAGATTGAAGCCAGACTGATCTTTCTCGATGAGGGATCGATCGTACGTTGAGGTGGCATCGGTGTCAAAAAGGGCTGTTGATTTCTTTCTTGATGATCAAAGCATTTGGAAAAGAAGGGATGTTATGCAAAGTTATCTGGTGGGAAGGTTTGACCGTGATGTTGGGGATTGTGCAAGAATGGAAGATTGGGCTTCAAGGGCTTGGAACGTTTCTACAGGTGTGGTGATTTCCCCGTTGCCAGACTCTCTCTTGTTGTTCAGACTGCCTTCTCATACTGAGGCGATTAGGCTGTTGAGGGAAGGCAAACGGACTCGGGGAGATGTTAAGTTACGATTGGATGTGTGGTCCTTCCATGTTGGGTGCTGTGGAATCCTTAAGGAGAAGAAGGTGAAGAGAGTGATGGTGTTCGCTTTGCCGTTACATTTGTGGTCGTATGCTCTATTTGAATCAATTGACAACACTTGTGGGAGTTTCAAGAAGGCTGAAGCTTGACGAAAGGAAGGATGCGAGCAAGGTTATTATTTATGTTGACGATGATATTTGGACGGGTAAGGGTGGGAGCGCGTGTTTGCGATTTTTGGAGGGTGACCCCCCTTTATGTTTGGTGGAGCCTCTGGAAAGAACGGAATAGAAGATCT